CCGCACGCGGAAGGCGCTGCCCGGGGCGGCATGGCCGGGCTGCGGGCTGCTCCTCAGGGCGCCGCAGAGGTCGGCGGCCTCGCCCGGGCCACGCCGGAGCGGCCCGGGGGCCTCGGTGAGGGGCCAGAGGCGGTAGCCATCCTCGTCCTCGCTGTCCGGGTCCGAGTCCCCGTCACGGCCGGCCCCGGGGGTCCGACTGCCGCCAACGCCCTCCAGGTGGAAGATGAGGTCCTCGTGGGCCATGGTCCCATCCAGGTGCCAGAGTCCGCGGGCAGCTGCTGCGGGGAGGGCCCTGCAAAGGGAGGCAGGAGTGGGTGCGGGGCCGGTGGAGGGCTCCCGGCCCCATCCATGTGCCCATCCCCGTCCCCGTCCCCGTCCCCAGCCCCCGTCCCCGTCCCCCTCCCAGTCCACATCCCCATTCCCAGCCCCATCCCCATCCACAGCCTCATCCCCGGCCCCATTTCCATCCCCATCCCCGGCCCATTCCCAGCCCCGGCCCCATCCCCATCCCCATCCCCGGCCCCATTTCCATCCCCATCCCCGGCCCATTCCCAGCCCCGGCCCCATCCCCATCCCCATCCCCGGCCCCATTTCCATCCCCATCCCCGGCCCATTCCCAGCCCCGGCCCCATCCCCATCCCCGGCCTCATCCCCATTCCCGGCCCCATCCCCATCCACAGCCTCATCCCCATCCCCGGCCCCATCCCCATCCACAGCCTCATCTCCGGCCCAATTTCCATCCCCATCCCTGGCCCCATTCCCATCCCCGGCCCATCCCCATTCCCGGCCCCATCCCCATCCACAGCCTCATCCCCGGCCCCATTTCCATCCCCATCCCCAGCCCATCCACAGGACCCTCTAAAGGGAGGAGGAGGGCTGAGCCAGGGAGAGAGGAGACGGGGGCCGGTGTGAGGCTGAGGAAGGGCCGCAGGCACAGGAAGGCTCTGGAAACGGGACACCGTGTGAGCCTGGCTGTGGGCTTCGGCCTCCTGGACGACTCGGAGAAGTCTGTGCATGTAAGCCCCCGGCTGTGACTGGCTGCAGCCCAGAAAGTCGTCCTCCACCGGGGGATTCGCCAGCGGGGACACTGCTGTGGCCGGACAGTTTGGCTGCCACGACTCTGGGTTCCCAGCAGGTCAGCCCAGGGAAGCTGCTCAAGGCCTCACCCCCGGCGGCCCCGGCACACGGGTATCTGCCAGCGTCAGCTCCGGATGGAGCTGCTCCGGATGATTCCGGCGAATTCCAAGAAGCACCCCCCCCCTTCCTCCCCTAAAAACAAACTCCACACCCCGGAAAGGGGAAGACATGCGCTCCTATGGTGAAGCGAGGAGCCGGTCAGCACTGGCCTTGCTGCAGCTCAGACAGCCACGGCCAGACCCAGGCTTCCTGCACACAGAATGCTGCAGTGCAAGGCTGCTCCAGGCCTTCAACATCAGAAAAGCACGTTTGAATACAAAGCACAACTATTCTCATCATGGCTTTGATTATCAAATGCACATGAGAGTTTGAAGATTAATTTTTAGCTGGAGAATCCAAGATGGCTGCACAGGTAAACACCTAGCCGCAGCCGCACACAATTTCAATAAAATATAACTAAAATATAAAATGGACATCAGAACTACAGGAAAGTCGACTGACTGGAAATTCTACAACGAGAAGCAAGGAGAAAACCAGAAGGAAGCGCGGAGGAGCTGGAAAAGCCTGAGGTACGGAGACACGCGGCGCGGAGAGGACAGAGCCGGAGAGGAGGGCGGCTGAGTGCCTGGCTGGCGTTCCCAAGCCGGAAGGAGATAAAACTCTTGACTGTGCTGGGCCCCAGTTCCGACTGCTCTGAACCCCAATTCTGGGCCAGACCCCGGGGACCCAGGCTCACAAAGAGGGAGCTGGGCTGTAAGGCGAAACCCCAGGGAAGCGGCGAAAGGGGGTCCCAGCGGGGCACACTGCGCTCAGAGAAGGGACAGCCGGCTGTGCCACGGGATTGCCCTGGCAGGAAGGAGATGGGGCTCCAGACTGCTCCAAACGCCACCTCTAATCCCACTTCCAACTGAACTGAACCCCAATACCAGGCTCATTGGGTGAGAGCATAGACTGTTTGGCAGCAGGTGAAAATTGAGGGCACCTTTCTCTCAGAGGTGCTAGCAGCGAGTTCTGAAGGACCCTGAGTCTCAGGAGCCGCATAGGGTGGGGCTGAGGAAGCCAAAGCTGTAGGCTCCACCCTGAAACTCCACCCCATCAGGGAAGCTGCGAAAATGCGACAACGAAATAGATCACAAACGAAAGAAATGGAGGACAAAAAGCGGCTGGATATAGAGTTCAAATCTACTCTTATAAGGTTTTTCAAGAATTTCCTAGAAAAGGTCAATAAGACCTATGAGGATATGAAAAGGGATCAACTAGAATAAATAAGGAATCAATGAGAAATGATAAGGGATCAACAAGAAATAAAGAATACATTGACTGAAATAAAAAATATTATACAGAGTCCTAAAAACAGAATGGAAGATCGCAAGAATCAAGTCAAAGAGTTGGAACATAAAGAGCCAGAAGACACTCCTCTGCAGAAGCAAGAAGGCAAGAGAATCCAGAAAATTGAAGATAATGTAAGAAACCTCTGGGACAACTTCAAGCAAACAAACATCAGAATTATAGGGGTCCCAGAGGAAGAGAAAGAGCAAGATACTGAAAACATACTGAAAGAAATAGTGACAGAAAACTTCCCCCACCTGGGGAAAGAAATAGACTTACAAGTCCAGGAAGCTCACAGAACTCCAAACATAAGGAATCCAAAGAGGACCACACTGAGACACATCATAATTAAAATTCCAAGAGCAAAAGACAAAGAGAGAATATTAAAAGCAGCAAGAGAGCCGAAACCGGTTTGGCTCAATGGATAGAGCGTCAGCTTGGGGACTGGAGGACCCGGGTTCGATTCCGGTCAAGGGCATGTACCTTGGTTGCGGGCATATCCCCGGTAGGGGGTGTGCAAGAGGCAGCTGGTCGATGACTCTCTCTCATCGATGTTTCTAACTCTCTATCTCTCTCTCTTCCTCTCTGTACAAAATCAAATAAAATATATTTAAAAATAAAAAATAAAAAAAAATAAAAGCAGCAAGAGAAAAGCAGGTAGTTACCTATAAAAGAGCACCTATACGATTGTCAGCTGATTTCTCAACAGAAACCATGCAGGCCAGACAGGAATGGCAAGAAATATTCAAGGTGATGAATAATAAGAACCTACAGCCAATGATAATCTATTCAGCAAAGCTATCACTCAGAATCAAAGGCCAGATAAAGAGCTTCACTAATAAAAAAAAGCTAAAGGAGTTCATCACCACCAAACCAGAATTATATGAATTGCTGAAGGGGGTTCTTTTGGAAGAGAAAGTAAATAAAGATAAAAATTATGAACAACAAATACGTAACTATCAACAAGTGAATCTAAAAACCAAGGACATTTTTTAAAAATCTGATAAATAATATTAACTGGTGAATTTAATAGAATCAGAGGTACGGAAGGGGAGTGAACTGACGATTCTCAGGGAAAAGGGAAGAGGGGAGTGTGGGAAGAGACTGAACATAAACTGTGCACCTATGGATGAGGACAATGGGGGGTGGGGAAAGGGCAGAGGGTGGGATGGGAACCTGGTGGAGGAGAGCAATGGGGGGGGGGGGGAGAGAAAGGAACATTTGTAATAATATAAACAATAAAAATTTATTTTTAAAAAAAGATTAATTTTTAACGACGTGCTCAGGATACCGTGTGCGCCGGGAACCAGGCACACAGCCCTCGCTCTCAGGGGAGCTGTCCACGCGCCTCCCCATGGCCAGCTCCTGTGCCCCTGCGCAGAGGGGCGCGCCTCAGCCTTCCTTTCTCCCGTGCAGTCGGCACTCTGCGTGGCACACGGCAGGTCCTGTGTGAATGCGTGCTGCAGGCACTAACGGGTACGCGGAGACATGGGCAGCCTCTGCGGTGTAACGGGCGCTGCAGGCCGGCGTGGGGGACTGTGGGGCTACCGCCACCAGGTGTCCGGGTTCGTTGGCTGACAGTGTTGGGGCAGAGAGAGAACAAGGGGCGAGCTGAGAAGCATGAACCGTGCTCTGTTAGCTGCGACTGCTTCGCTCTGAGTAAGAAAGCACGTTCTGACCAGGAGGGAGTGGTACCCGGGCCTGGGAGTTAACCCGGGATGCGGCCCGTTCTCATCCAGAACTGCCTGTCACCGCACACAGAGTAACAGCCTTGTTGGCGAAACAACGGAGTCCGGAAGGCACTGGCCCTCTGCAACGCCCACAACCACATCGCCTGCAACCACTTTACCCTCTTCGTTCCTTTTGCTTTCTTCCCGGCGTATAAGCTGCTGGCTTGGTGGGGGGGGGGGGGGGGAGCAGGGGGCGCACAGAACAGACTTTCCTGTGTGGCCGGCTTGCGCTCCCCCCGCTCCCCCCCCCCCCCCCCCCGTGCTGCCGGCATGGCTGGAATAAAGGCGCACACAGGGTCCAGCCCTGACCCTGCTTCACGGGTCACGTGGTGAAGGCAGCCGGACCCACTGCTGTCCTGTCTAGAAGCATGGCTGAGCTCTGAGTGGGGAGCCTGCACCAGGCGGAGCCCCCGAAAAGCGCCCAAGACGAGGGCCTGGCCTGACAGGCTTTGGGGGCACACCGGTCCGGGTTCTGGGGTTCGGGTCCTGACCCTGCTACTGCCAGTGAGTGGCTTTGGGGTCCTCAGCCTCCTCACTGTCAGTCCATCGTCAGAAAGCGGAGCGGGGGTGCGAGGGGAGGGCTGGGAGAGCTGGCCGGGGACAGAAAGGCCACCGCGGCGGCAGGCAGCTCTCCCCGAGGCTGTGCGGCCCCTCCGGGCCAGGGACTACAACTCCCAGCACTCTTTACCTCTAGGTGGGACCATGTGACCTCACGGGGGCCAATGGAACATGGGCTGCTTCTGAGCCCCCACACCAACAGCCCTTTCCCCCCGGGTCCCGTCCCCGCCTGCGATCCCGCAGACACACCGAGATCCTGATCCCGCAGAGCCCTGGAACGGATTGGCAGCATCTCGGCATCTTACCCAGCGCCTGCCTCCTGCCTCGTCACCGTCCCCACTCCGAGGGCAGGCTCCCCATCCGCACCCGGCTCCTCTCACAGGCCTGTTTGACACTGCCCCGGCCTCCCGCCCTCCCCGCCAGCTCCTCTGCTATCTCCCCCTGCAGCTGACTGTCGCCTCCCGCCCTCCCGGCCAGCTCCCTCGGCTG